ACTAACTTCACAGAAGCTCTAAAGGAGTCACAGTAAACTTGAGCTGGCCTAATATTGAGATAGCTGCTTAGCTTTGGAAAAAATAATTTGGAAGCCATCTCTGTAAGCTTATATTCCTTCTCTTGCTAGGATTTGAAACCCTTGGTGCTTTCAACTATTTATGTAATTTATGTAATTTATGTAATTATGTAATATATATGGGACAGTATGGAATAGCATCTAAGAGGATGACCTCGGGAGTCAGGCTGCCCAGATTCAAACCTGCCGCTATGCGCTCATTTGTGGACCACTGCTATCTTCCTTAAGTTCTTCCATTTCATTTGTGATAGGGGCATAATAATAACACGTCCTTCACAGAGGTGTAAATGCACATGCATCTGTAATATAAATTATTACTATTGTTATTAATAAAAATAAAGGGTTTGGGTAGCACAGGGGATAAATGGCCAGGCTCATGCAGAGGGAAATCATGTAGGTCCTGTTAAGCTCATGTATATCGTATTAAAAATCCTATTTTCAAGATGAACTCTCTTAGCAACTTTCAAATATACAACCCTATTGTTAACTATAGTCATCATGCTGTACATTACATCTCCAGTGTGTAGTGAGAAGGCTCTACGGTGCTAATTACAGATTTTTCCACTACACTATGATATGTGAATTTCTAAAAAGCTTTGTATTCTGTAGAATTTATATTAAAACAGCAGGATTCAGGGCACCTGGGTGTCTCAATCATTTAAGTGTCTGCTTTTGGCTCAGGTCATGATCCTGGGGTCCTGGGATCTCGAACCCCAAATCATGGGGCTCCCTGCTCAACCAGGAGTCTGCCTCTCCCTCTGCCCTTCCCTGCTGCTCCTCCCCCCACTCATGGGTGCATGCTCCCTTTCACAAACAAATAAATAAAATCTTTAAAAAAAAAAAAAAAAAAGAAGGCAGGATTCATGAGGAAAAAATAAGATTATGTGCAAATCTCCCAAACTTGTGAAGTCACCCCTCGCAATCATCACCCTCATGGAAATACTAATAAAAAGAGACTACTAATAAGTAAATTTCCCTTTATATATAATATTCTATTTTAGGGAGAAAGGAGAAAGTGATTTGATGATAGGGATAGAAGTAAGATTAAGCCTACTTTGAGAAAGAGAAAGGGGTGGGGCTGGACATAAAAGTGAGAAAACACACCATGATGAGATAGAATGTGTGTCCAAATAGGGTCAAAGGAAAGATAGAATGTGAACGTAAGGGAAATGGGGATTCTATTCCACACTGCCCTCCACGGCTGCAGTTAAATCCTGCATTATTATGATATTTTGTGTTTGGCCATCATTTTTGGTGATGTGAGTCATTGATGTACTGAGGAATCATCTTATGAAACAACACACTTTGCATGTTATAATTACATTCTTCTCTACTTATCAATCCTTCACAGCCAATCCCCTCACGTTGTAGACACACATTCTAGGGTATGAGAAGGGGAATGATGTTCATAGATTAGAATTTCTGAAAAATTACTCTAGTAACGAATCAAATCTCAGAATTTGGACACCTTTGAGGCCAAACAGGAAAGGGTAGCTGGAACGGGACTGGTGGCAGTGATGGTGAATTTACTCAGATGTTCAATATCGAAAATCCCTACTCTACACTCAAAAGACACTTGCTTAAAGACACAGCCTTAGGTGTCAATGCTCTCTAAACCCTTGAATTTTGATACTTCACACCCCCAAAAAAGTGGAGGAGAAAAATTTCACGGAATAGGAAAGCAAAATACAACCTAATTACATAAACTAGACTAGGTTTGGGAAGTCCGAGTTCTTGCCATCCACTTTTTCTATTCGTGTTTATCTCCCCAGCCGTTCTGCATATGCCTAGACTAGGATTGCCATGAGTATGGGAAGAAGCATGGAAGAAACGGAAAGGTTAACAAATTAGGACACTTTGGATGTTGGTGTCAGTGCTTCAAACTTGAGAACAGATGAAGAAAATACATGTACTCTGCCTACACAAGCTTATTGAAAATAGTGGCAAATATTCTCTGAACTCTTAAATGTATTGTCACATAGACATGATACATTCATGTAAGATATTTGGTTTTGAACATTAAGAATAAATTATTTCATTGGAAACTACAGTTTGTGATTTAAACTCTTGTTTGAATCAGTGCTGTCCAATAAAAAATAATGCAAACCACAAATGTGAGCTGCATATATAATTTTAATTTTCTTTTTTTAAATATTTTATTTATTTATTTATTTGAGAGAGAATGAGTAAGAGAGAGCATGAGAGAGGAGAAGGTCAGAGGGAGAAGCAGAGTCCCCAAGGAGCTGGGAGCCCGATGCGGGACTCAATCCTGGAAGTCCGGGATCATGACCTGAGCCGAAGGCAGTCGCTCAACCAGCTGAATCACCCAGGCGCCCTATAATTTTAATTTTCTACTAAACACAGTAAAAAAGCAAAAAGAAATAAGTGAAGTTAATTTTTATATTTATTCAATTTACTATATCCAAAATATTATCATGTCAACAAAAAATGAATATAGAAATTGAGAAATTCCACGTTCTTCCTTTTCTGGTATTAATTCTTTGAAATTTGGTATGTAAATTAAAAATCTCAAATTGCCACATTTCAACTAAATAGCTACATATTGCTAATTGTTACCATATGGGACAATATAGGTATAAGTTAACTTGTTATGAGCATTATTTTGCCAGAATGAAAAGCTACAATTAAAATATGCCTACTTATGTTTTTGTCAGTATGTAACAATCTCATCCCTTCACACAACAGAAAAATATCATATCCCGTTTTCTTTCTTTTTTAAGGGAGTATTCTTATAGAATGCTTTCAAAGTATAACTTTTGGATATATCCCATCTCATATCTTATTTCAAGCATGATTCCCACATTCAATGCTTACATTTGAACATTTGTGAGGAATGTATTTTAATTTTTGTTATGTTGTATATGCCTGGATGACCACTGAACTGCATTGTAGCTGACAAGTTGACAAGGTGCCATGTTTCATAGATGTTTAATTAAACATATATTGATTTTGATTTTAGTTCTCTTGTTTTGGAAACATTATATATACTTTCTGGCCTCCAACACTTTTGGCTCTTGAAAAATTCCACTTTTAGCCTGTAGGCTTGGAGCCCTGGGTGCCAAATGCACAAGATCAGCTGGCTGGAGCCACATGCTGGTGGCCCGCAGAGTATAGGCTGTTCCTGTTCCTTTAGTTCTCAGTGCAATTGTCACCTAAAACTGGCTTTTGCTAACTTAAGTTTTGCCATAAGGATAGTCTGTCTGTTTGGGCTTATTTTATTTTATTTATTTATTTATTTTTTTCCTTCACAGCATTGGTAAATTTGGTCACATTTATGTATTTGTTATTTACTCATTTTTTTTTTAAAGATTTTACTTATTTATTTGACAGAAAGAGAAAGATAGATTGAGCACAGGCAGTGGGGAGGGGCAGGGGCAGAAGAAGAAGCAGACTCCCCACTGAGCAAGCAGCCAGACCTGGGGATTGATCCCAGGACCCTGGAATTATGAACTGAGCTGAAGGCAGCCACTTAACTGACTGAGCCACCCAGGGACCCCTGTATTTGTTTTTTAAATATATTTTCTGTTTCTGATTTAAGAGGGTCAAGGGTTGTGTATTATTTTCTTATCTACTGTATAATAAAGAATTTTGTAGACACTCAATAAACCTTAGATAAGTGAAGGAAAAAAAAATTCTTGTTGTAAGGAAGAGTTCAAAGCTCACTTTACCTAAATGCAGAAAAGAGGTTGTCAGTCTGGTAGGGATTTAAGGTTGCTCTAAGCTGCATAACTTAGAAAAAATAATTCCCATGTATCCAGACTAGAGAAGCAATTCTTTTTAAGTTAAAGTTTATAAAGAGTTATAAAACCATCTGACATTTTACCAGTCATTTATGTTTCAGTAATGTCATTGGCTTACATTTAGTAATTTATCTTGTTCTTTCCTGGATGATCTGATTCTATTTTCTAATTTTAAGGATTTTTTTTTCTTATTTTTTTTTCTTTTCCTTATTCTCTAAATGTGCAATTCTCAATGTTGGCCCATTTTGCTTCTTCCAGGAGCTATTTGGCAATGTCTGGAAAAGTTTTGGATTGTCACAATTGGGAGTAGGGGAAGATGCTACTGTCACTTTTTGAACAGAGGAGAGAAATGTGGCTTAAAGTCAAATGTACAGAATAGCTCCCCAGTAACAACCATTCAACTCCAGATGTCAAAGGGTGACATTGTGAAACCCTCCTCTAGTCTAGTTCATGTTAAAAATAGTGATCTGTGTTTTATCCTTAAAATGATTATTAAATTGGAAAAAGTATTGCTTCTGTTTATGATACACCTTTTGCTTCATCATAACTGAAGCTTTTTCCATTGTAACTAAAGTTAGTTCATCCAAGTTTACAAGGTGCATAGCAGTGACCATTTATCCCTATAAGTCTTTTCCAGGCTTTCCTCTTTACATCTTTATTTTTTTTTTATTTTTTTTTAAAGATTTTTTTTTTTTTTTTTTTTTATTTGACAGAGAGATCACAAGTAGGCAGAGAGGCAGGCAGAGACAGACAGGAGGAGGAGGCAGGCTCCCTGCTGAGCAGAGAGCCCGATGCGGGACTCGATCCCAGGACCCTGAGATCATGACCTGAGCCGAAGGCAGAGGCTTTAACCACTGAGCCACCCAGGCGCCCCCTCTTTACATCTTTAAATGTTGGCAGACATAATGAGAGTTTTGATGAGTATCATCATGTCATTCTGTCGATTTAATGCATCTTTGTTAATCTGTTTTATAGGTCCCTTTAGATGGGATGTAATACAGCAGAAGTCTTTTCATCAAAAGGATTAATGCCTGCATTATCATTTCTGCAATAAAACAGAAAGTCAAGTGGTGGAGGCCACAGACACCTCAAACCTGGATTCCACAATTCTACATTAAGTGCTGGAGTTTTTATTACTCTGCTGTTGGAAAGCCTTTGCCAATGCTTACAAGGAACTGCTTATCCCTGCTTCTCTGGGTCCTGTTTGATGGAGGTCTCCTAACACCCCTTCAACCACAGCCACAACAGACTTTAGCCACAGAACCAACAGAAAATGTTATCCACCTGCCAGGGCGCCGGCCACATTTCCAACGAGTTAAACGGGGCTGGGTATGGAATCAATTTTTTGTGCTGGAGGAATACATGGGCTCCGAGCCTCAATATGTGGGAAAGGTAATGGCGTTTCTTTTGACAACCACTTGATAGCAAGGGGGATTATGCATTGTGTATTGTGTGTGGATGTTTTGCACAGGAGTTGAACAAACCAGTGACTAGAACACTGGGATTGAAATCCAAGAGACCTGGTTTCTCTTCCTGACTCAGTGGCCCGGGTAAGCTTTGGAATATCATTTAATCGTTCTTTACCTCAATTCTCCCTGGTTATTTTAATAAAATTAATATATATTTTTTCCTAATTTTTTCTTTAATTTTAACATTCTTTGCTAAAGACAAAACGCTAAGATATTAAGTGTCATTAAAAGTGGTGTTATAGCACATTATTGCTCACAGACATTCTGAAACTATTTACCAAGAAGAGACATAGGGAAAAAAAAAACAAAACAGGCATAAATATTCTAAACTACCGTTGATATCCTTGAATGAGCAGGATGCCTTCCTTCCCCCGCCCCTTAAAAACATGACATACCATTTGAAATGTGGTTTGAAGTATTTGACGTGGCTTGCTTATACTTTATAAATTATTTATTTATTACATGTTTTGCAAGCTCTTTATGAAGCTATGTATGGCCAAAGTAATAAGTGTTGGAACCCAAGTACGTACACCTCAGTCTCTGACACAGCATGCCACTTTTAAATCTTACTGTAAATTCACAGAAATTTTTTTTCCACAAAATAATTGATGGCAACTCTTCCTCTCAGCACATTTATACTTTACTGCTATTTTCCTTACATAAAATATTTGGCCCTTGTCTAGAATGGATATAATTTATCATTGCCACCAAATTTTTTCTAGAAAAATGAATATTTTATTTTGTTACTAACTGTCCTTAAATCTAAAAGATTTTGTCATGGTTTTAATAAAAACATATATGCTTGAAAGCAAAACAAAGCAAAATAGAGCAGAACATATATGCTTGAAGAGAGTTTAGAATAAATCCAAAAACAGAAATGGAAAACTATAGCAGAAGAAGTCCTAGGAAGCTGATCTAGAAGCATGTCTCTATTGCACATTAATGTCCTCAGAGCTTTCTGGAAGCCTAAACTAATGAGAAATAGGATGAGTCTTATGATTCCAGTGGTAGGTAAAAGGAAGCAAATCCATCAAGATTTAAGTTATTTACACTATATTTTTTGAATGTACCTTTTAGAAATATATTTACAGAATACCAAATAATATAGTGGAAAAGATCTTCAAAAGAGCCTTTGTTGAAAATGAACAGACAGCCAGGGTTTCCTGAGGTATACGGGGCCCCAGGCAAATATTTTCTGTGGGATACCTATCTCTATATAAAGTTGGAGTCATGCCAAGTCAGTCTTTGAGTACCATTCTGGCGGTCTAATTTTTAGTGATTTTGTAAAAAATACACTATGTCATTAGCACAGGCTATCTCCACAGATCACTTGCTAGGAATCGGGATCTAGTCATGTGACCCTGGGACAACTCCATACATGTTAGTCCTGGAGCTCCACAGAGTATCTGATAAACCCCAAATTAAGTAGAAAGTCAGAGAGTGCCTTCACGGGGACAAGTGGACACTAAGGCCCAAGCAGTTCTAGTCAAGCCCATGACACCCCACCCAGATGGCACTGCTGTCCATAAATAGACCTGGGAAAAAGAAGGGTCTCAGGAAATTTTGAAGAAAGCACTCCAAAACATAGAAGCTCCAACATTACTCTACATTGCTTTTGCTTATATGATTCCTCTATATGACCGTGAAATACAATAATCTTTATGGTGACATAATTTCATGTTCTGGAACACTTGTTTCTTATGAGTTAATATAATATAAGGATCAAGTTTTGGAATCTAAGACAGATGGATAGGCAGCATAGCTCTGAAACTCTGCCTCATGGGTATTAATATTCTCAGCTCTGCTTATGATGGAAACTAGACATCATGTTGAGGTTCCTGGCAAGAATATAATAAGAAAGTGTTCTCTCTGATTTTGATGGAAGCAGATTCATAGCCTTTAGTTGCCTGAATCCGAAGTAAAAAGATTGTTGAAAAATTAATGAAACCGACTTTTATTCTTAGAAAGAGTCGCATTTCACCTAGGAATTGCATATCCAAATTTTGTTTGATTCTCTTGAATCATATCTTTGTAATTGCTAATATAGTATAGAATTCATCCAATCCACTTCAAAGATGAATTAGCATTTTATACATAGACTGTAAAGGAGTAGATCTAAAATCTATTATTAAATGAAAACATTATTTTCAGTCACACATTTGTAACGCGTGACGAGAACCTGTGGCTTTCCCACAATGCATGTTCCTAATGCAAATGAAACAGTAGGAGCCCCAGTTTCCTTTCCACATGGAAACTAAAGTTTAATTAAGTTTGTCATGGTGAGTCAAGATGGGGGAATAGTAATAACATCGGGACCGATTCAAGTCATTATATATATGTGTGCAAACATATATAAATATATTTATGCTTCTGTTTCTTTTTAGAAAGGCACTGAGACAGTTCTCAGAAAAATAAAATATCATAAATAATGTAGAATTCCAGATGAAGCAGGAAGGCAGATGCAAAAGTGCCAAGCATAGTGGTGGTAGTGGATTGGTTAAATACGTAGTAGATTAGTAAAATAAAACTGAACTTCCATAATTGAGCTTCATATTTAATCTTGGGTATTTTGCAGCATCAGCATCTATGGGAAACACTAATTTGTACAGTTCCTATTACTGAAAGTTCCACTTATTGAGAAGAAAAAATCTATGCCCCTAGCTTCAAATCTGAAAGAATTTATACATGTGGAAATGTATAGTCAGGATCCTGAACAGCTTAGTGGACATTAGCATCAACAACTGTTCTATTTAAAAGGAGCAGACGTTAATGTTGACATTCCTTCAAGAAAGAACACACTGTGGTGTTGCTTATAAGGAATATTACTTTACTTTATATACAAATAAATCATAAGAGCTTCCAGAGGTAAAGCCAATAATTCCCTCAAATAGACATTTTGGATTTTCAACAATACTTGGATAAATGTACGATGCATAGTAACACAGAAATTAATTTGATCAGCACAAATTTTAATCCAGGTGCTATCAATTGCTCACAGTTCCCTCTAAAAACAGAAACAAAACTAAACAAAAGTCCACCTGTTATTATTATTTTTTAAGATTTTATTTATTTATTTGACAGAGAGAAATCACAAGTAGGCAGAGGCAGGCAGAGAGAGAGAGGGAAGCAGGTTCCCTGCTGAGCAGAGAACCTGATGTGGGGCTCAATCCCAGGACCCTGAGATCACAGCCCAAGCCTAAGGCAGACGCTTAACCATTGAGCCATCCAGGCGCCCCCAAAAGTCCACCTATTATTAAACACACACACACACACACACACGGTGTACACAAACACATACTCACAGAGTAAGCTGGATGCTTGCACAAACATGTATAACTGGGTGCCTATATCTGTGTAGTACTACTTTATATCATAGCCTCAAAGCTGTGTATCAAGAAAATGCTGCCCAGTTATCCACAAAGAATAATTTAGGAAATTGAGTTGTCATTTCAGATGATCTTTGTTAGCAGTAATTCTTACATTTAAATTGTTTAAAATGGCAAAAAGATTAAAAATGGAAACATACATAAACCCTAAATTCTGGAGGCATTGAGAATGCATTACAATTTGAAAAAGTGTTAAGCCTGGTAGGGATCAATCTAATTATGAAGGTCGCTAGATTATAATTGTAATCAGTAAGCTTTACTTAGTGCTTACCTTGGGCACTGTTTTAATTGTTTTACCTTCATAAAATTATGTAATCCTCAAAACAACATACGAAGAAGATTTCTAGTAGCTCCATTTCACATATCAGAAAACTGAGACACAGAAGAGTCAGGTAACTGTCCCAGGGCTCCTCAGACAGTAAACGCTGAAACTAGGATTTTAAGTAAGGAAGTTTAGCTCCATTGAACCAAAAAATATCACAGATTGTTATCTTCTAAGGATATTAAGAGCTAATAATAATTTCAATATTCTGTCGAAAGTACTATAGTGGAGATCTTATTGGGGTGGTGGAGCCAAAGGCAAGTCTATGACTACGTCCAGAAGATGGAGGAGTTTAAGAAAGCCTTCACAGATGAGGGACCACCTGAGATGCATCTTGAAGGATGACTCCATTTTTTCAGAAGAGAGAGTCTGAGGGAAAGTTTTATAAGCATTGAGGCTTGAAAATTCCAGATGAGGCTTAGATAACCATATTTCAATATAGTCAGAGAACATGAAGCCAACTGTTTCGGGTAGGTAAATACAGAAAATATTAGGTTCAATTCTAATATCAAGATCATATTTATATATTTGTTTGTTTATACATTGGGGTATAGTTGACAAATAACATTATATTAGTTTCAGGTGTACAACATAATGATTCAATATTTGTATACATTGCAAGATGATCACCGCAATAAAGCTAGTTAATATCTGTCATCATATATCATTACAAAATTTTTTCTTGTAGTTAGGACTTTTAAGATTTACTGTCTTAGGAACATCTGGGTGGCTCAGTCGATTAAGCGTCTGACTCTTGGTTTCAGCTCTGGGTCATGATCTCAGGGTCCTAGGATTAAGCCCCTCACTGGGCAGACCCAGAGTCTGCTGGTGATTCTCTCTCTCTCTTTTCCTTTCCTTCTGCTCCTCTCCATGCTCACTCACTCTCTCTCCCTCTAAAGTAAGTAAATATAATCTAAAAAAAAAAAAAAAAAAAGATTTACTCTCTTAGCAACTATCAAATATTCAACAGAGTATTATTAACTATAGCCTTGTGTGGTATACTATAGTTTTGTTTGTTCTTAAAGGTCCCATGATCCACAAAGATGTCTTGACTGAGGATTCAGATGGACAGAGTTGCAGTTGTAAAATGAGCACTAAAAGCGCCACTTGAAAGACCCATTGGAGGTGGGGGGACAGACATGGAGACAGGGAGAACATAAAGTTGAAGGTTACAGTAGGCCTGACCAGGAAGTAATGCAGAGAATGGGATATTAG